TCATACCCTGAACCCCTTGTGCCTTAGTGGCTTTATTACCTTGCATGGGGTGATACTAATTAAAAAAAAAAGTTAAAAAATAGCCGTTTTTTTTTTTTAGTTTTTTCCTGTCAACTTTATTGAAAAATATACGTATGATTTATTTTCTTTATTTTCCCACATTTTTCTGGTAATTTCATAATCTTAACCACTAACAACTTTTTATGTAAAATCAGTTCCAGATGATGTTAGAAATCAAAATAATAATACAAGCCTCTCGGGAAAAACGTATCCGACCCCGTTTTATACGGGGTCTACGGAGAATTTTGGACTGAGCCTACGGGCTCGGGAACCCCACATTAAATTCGGCCTTGTGCCACATGTGACTGCGTGGGGCAGTTGGTAGATACCATCTGCGGTCTGCAGTTGGAGATTCATTGTGGAATTCACTTGTCTCACTTCTAGCAGTTGACTACTTCTACGCGCCGCTGACGAATCTTATAGGCGTTCTTCTTGTCCTATCGTTCATTACCAACCTTCGTGTGATTATTCTATTCAGCAACCTTCCCTTGGTTACAACAACAAGCGAGAAGTGCGAGAAAAAAATAACTATGTTTTTAATTTTTTAACCTAAGCAATCATTTTGTGCTAACAGGACACTTAATAATAATGCTAGTTGGGATAAAAACGATCTTGAAAAAAAATCAACGTCCAGAAAATAGTTTTCGAGATAAAGCATTTCCAAAACAGAAACTATGATGTGGAATTGGAATGAAAGCAGTGATGGCGCCTACCGCGAATCCATTATAAAAATCAGAATGTGGAAGTAGAAATAAGTAAACACTTCAAATGTAGTATAAGAAATATAGAAATTAAATATAGAATAGTCTGTTCTTGTTGTCGTTTCGCCCAACACCGGAAATTGCTACAAAACCAAAACATTAACATGAAAACTCAAGTCATGTTCTTAAATAGTCTCGTTAGCTGGTGACTTTCATATGGACATCATGCATAGCTCCAAGTTCATTAAAATTTATCTAATATGTCAGCTGCATAGAACCGTTTTTTCAGATCAACGATTAAAAATGGCTTCTAATGAATGAAAACTGTAGTTCTTCGCGCGGGCCACCCTTATTTGAATCTCGTGGACTGGCGATACATAATCACGAATTGAGAACTGCAGCAGATAATATGAGATATCATTGGAGGACTAGCAACTACTAAAATGTATAGCACGTGCAACTCGAAGAGAAAATAATGACATAACGAAGATGTTGAAGTTCCACATTACTTCGAATAAAAGGTTAGGAAGGAAACCCTCATCAGTGCTGGAAAGAGCAATGATAGTTACTGGATTTGAGAAACCTATTCTTCAGAAAAAAAAATTAAGAGAAAGATTTTTATTGATTTTAACCAACAGCAGTACTGGCTGCTCGGTCAATGAATATCGAATGTTTCCTTATAAGGAAACGGCTAATGTTACCATTAATTTTACCATTGTGTGATTCTACTATTAAATCTATTTTTTATGTTACATAATGCGAAGGCCAGGGTTATAATGGTCAGCGATTGCTGCGTGGGCGTGGTATTCTGACAGTGATGGATTATCTTTGTCTGGGTTTTGGATATAAGTTCAAAAAGGTGCGAATTCAACAGAGGGACGCACGAATTTTGAAGCTTCGATCAGATCCAGGTTGAGCGACCGGCTAAGACAAACCCCGTCGGACGCTCAGCCAATGTGCGACATGCGTTCCCGTAACGTCATTCCTCCCGCTGCGTCTTAGAATCCAAGCTGCCACGTCTACCCACCTCTTCTAATAAAAAAAAACGAATATGAAAAAGAAATCATCCTTTTGCTGATATCATTTGATGTAGTGGGATCCACATACGACCCAGAACGCAACAAGAAGATCAATTATAATTCTTATAGTAAACGTTCATGCCCTGATTGAGACGTGAGAGACTATTTTGTAGGCTACATTTGGAGAGCTGAGATATTTGTGTTCATATTGGCCATGTTTGTGTGCTTCTATTATTAAATATCTTGTAATTAATGAAGACCAGTTATTACTTTTTGACCAGCCTTCCCACACAATTTACGCCTTTGTGTTTTCATCTTCTTTGCTTATCGTCGAAATTAATAAATCCACAACGCTTTTTAGTGAATAAGATTGTAAACGTTTGATATAACGTTACTGGGTTTGTTAATCATTTACATGACGTCAGAGTTTTCTCTCACCGCTTCAACCTTAACTAATATCATTGTATTGTCCAAAAGAATATCAGATTTCCTTAATCAAATTTTTAGCTGACACACCTCGTTAATCAAATTAAAATAATATATTAATTGCACTATAGCAAGGGGAAGAAAGAAAACAAGTAAAGAACAACAAAAAATGTGACGCCGAAATCCGAAGTGGCGTTTGAGGCTTAAAAAATTCCTTCCAAAAACGAAACAAATATTAGAAACGAGTAAATTTCTATAGAAGCAAAGAAAATACGGAAGTAAATGGTGGCCAAAATTCCTCCAGATGAAGAAAAAGACGAGGCAACAAAGATGTGGTTCTACTGAATGATGCTGAGAATACTCACTGACCGAAATTCATGTTCCCGTACGATCAACGACGTTAAGCCATTTAAATTCGGAGATCGTACAGGAACCGTAGTTTCAACGTAATATGGCCGTAACGATAATATAGCATTTGGAATGTAGCAAGGGGTTCGGTCGAAGATGCGAGATACTAATTGGAGACGTCAGAATCAAATCTTATAACAGACGACGGAATATGTGACAATAATCCGAAAACGTAGAAGTTTAGCGAAAGATGCTTTCCAGAAGTTCAGCAAAGTATTAAGAAACAGAAAATATTTCTCAGAAAGTCAAAAAAAAAAAAAAAAAAGGAGTATTATGTATCTATGTAACATCAATCCTCCTATATATCAGTGAACGCTGGACATTTTCCTCAAAGATGAAGAAGAGACTTGCGGCAATGGATATGTAGTTAAACAGAAGGATGGTGAGAATACGATGGACGGATCACTTGAGCAACGAGGAAGTTCTAAGGGAAATGGAAACAAAAATGATACCTTTACTTAGAATCAAAACAAAAAAAAAATTCTAGGGCACATAATGAGAAAAGCTGGCTTGGAGAATTTGACACTCACAAAACATACTGCAAGAGGAAACACTGATTGCGCTAGAAAGTAAAGCAAGTTGTGGAGGGCTATCATCACTCAGGCTTCAAAGGGACACGTTGCATGAATGTACACTAGTAAATCTGTCTGAGAGACAAGCTCGTTAACCATTACGCTATTTTTTTTTTTACTCAGCTTAGTTTAATGTGGAAAACGGCCATAGTAGGGAAAAGCCTACTGAAGGTATTATTAGTTTGAAAGAAACCCAGTGGCGGATTAGTCAGGGTGTCAGCTTACCCGATGGCAAGTGGGCCCCTGATTGGGTGAGCTCCCTATATCAAATAAAAATGTTTTAAAGAAACAAACGCAGACAACTTTTAGTAATAAAAAGGAATAAGAATTTTATAAAGTCCTCTGCACACTATCAGTTACTCAAGTCCAATGTGAGAGGACATTTTCAAAGCTAAACATCATAAAGACAAAGTTAAAGGGTACTTCGACGTGATGCAATGGTTCACAAGCTGGTCTGGCTAGATCACTTATGACTGAATAGTGAGTTCCATCCTCATTGGGTGCTCCATACTTTCGGCCTTCTGCCACAATTGAGCTACGCTTGGTAAATAGTTTTATGAGCACTTCGACCGGGTGGATTGGTTAGCAAGCTTGTTTCACTCGAACAATTACAACTGTGTAGTAAGTTCGATCCTCATTGGGTGCTCCGCACTTTCGGCCTTGTGCCACATCTAAGACACATTTAGAAAATCACCTAGGTTAGCTCGACATGGTTAGTGAGCTTGTCTAATGAGAACAATTACAAATGATTAGTGAATTCGATCTTCACTGTGTGCCCTATACTTTCGGCCTTGTGCCACATCTTAGTTTAAAAAATTAGGTGTCTGAGGAGAATTTGTAACCATACATGTTGTTATCCATTGAAAAGGAATTTGCTAGATGAATTGGATGCAAAGGCAATTCTTGGCAGTTTCGAACAATCATTTTTCATGTGAATATTATTGTTGCTTGTTAGATTTTTGTTGTTGACATATTTCAAAGAGACGTAACATTTTCTTTGTTAGGTTGTTTTTAGCAGGTATTATTTTTCCTCTATAATTGAGAGACGCAGGAGACACAATAATAACAACAACTGAATTAATCCGTTCTTTTAAGATAACAATATAGAATCCACTTAGTCTAACTTGTTGCCGGACTAATTCGCTGGTCGTAAACTGTCAATTAGAAGAAACTTTCTTACTTATAATGAGTGATGCGGTCAGAAAGACTTCATCACAATTACCAAAACTGGTGATTGCTGCCCCAGGGGCTGATAGTAATCTTAGCTTAGTACTGAAAAAATTAGCGAGAATTTAAGAAGCAAGGTCATTCAGCTTAACCCGGGTAAAAAAAAAAATATATTTTTAACGCCATGTCCATCCAGGTTTTATGCGATTATGGCTCCACAGAAATTCCTTTTCTTTTATATATGTAAATTGCCATGACTTATGAATGATAGTGGCGTGTCCCCCGTGGCTTTCTCAACGGTTTTTGAATTAAAGATTTGTCCTTGTCATGGGTTGGCTGCCACCCAAAGCTAGAGAGTACAGTTTTTCTCTGCTATTTAACCTATAGAAGAAAATCGATTCTTGCCTTTCCTCGGGTTAATAGTGCGAAGTGAACACAGAAGACGAGTTCGAAATGTGAATCCGGATTGACGAGTCCACTTTATCGCCGTAAGCCATACCACCCGCACATTCAAGCCTGGTATTCCCAAGCGGTTACCCATCTAGGTACTGACCAGGATCGACGTTGCTTAGCTTCGATAATCGTACGAGAATCGACGTTTCAACGTGATATCGCCGTAAGCCATAGCACCCACACAACCAAGCAAACTGCATTTGATATTCTCAAGCGGTCACCCATCTACTGACCAGGTTCGACGTTGCTTAACTTCGGCGATCGTACGGGACTCGGTGTTTCAACGTGATATCGCCGTAAACCATACCACCCGCACAACCAAGCTTACCGCACCTGGTAATTCTCAAGCGGTCACCCATCTAAGTACTGACCAGGCTTGACGTTGCTTAACTTCAGTGACCGTACGGGAATTGGTGTTATAAGCTATATCAACCAAGGTCACCACTATTGGTATTCCCAAGCGGTCAGCCATCAAAGTACTGACAAGGCCATATTAATGATGGCCTTCTATATTCATTAATGCTCAACGTAAAATCTAGTACAGTGGTACCTCGGTTTTCGAATTTAATTCGTTCCTGAAGGCTGTTCGTGAACCGAAAATTTCGAAAACTGAAACATTTTTCCCATAAGAATCAATGTAAAATGGATTAATCCGTTCCTGGATCCCGGATGATTGCTTATTCAAACATTTACAACAGTATTTTGTGTACAGGTTTATACACAAAAACCAATGAAAATCATTAGATCGAAGAAAAGATAATCACAACTGAATACAGAATAAAGCCGCATATAAATAAATATGGCAATTCTATTCATCCTTACTTGTGCTGAGAAGTTTTGCTGACACAAGTGGAGGGTTGGGGGATGTGGGAAGAAAGGGATGTTATTGTTTGGAAGGGGTACCCCCCATCTCTTGGATTTTCTGTTTCTTGCTAGCAGATTTTGCCTGGGATACACCAGGCCTCTTTTTCGCCCCAAATCCTTTCTATTGATACTTGCTTTTGCGTCTGTTTCACAATGTAACGGAAGTGAGTGATAGCACTGTCATTGAAAATAAGAGCACTAGGCACATAGCCGTTTCCCACCTGCACAAAAATATTACAGAAGTGAGATATAGCACTGTCATTGAAAATGTTACTGACATGGCTTGCTATTGTCTTATCAATGTGATACAATTCAACAAAATTTTTTCACTTCACTCCATTTTCCACACATTTCTTTAATAAGATCACTAGTCACATACCCTCTTCCCACCTGTGCAACATAACACAACACAAGATCTACCAGCAAAAATCAGACAATAGTTCTTAGTGTGCGGGCTGAGACAAGACTGGCGCCGATCACGTCACACGTTCAGTCACTCAGTGATCACGTGCTGCCCAAGTGATGTAGTTGGCTTGTTCGTCAACCGAGTTATGGTAGGACAAACGGGGCAAATTTTAGTTCGAAATTTTTCTTCGACAACCGATTTGTTCGAAAAGGGAGCCGTTCGACAATCGAAGTTACATGCATTATTTAAAAAACAGAATAGAATCTGATATAAATTATAGGTTAATAAAAAAAATCGGCATAAATTATAGGTTTATATTTATAACTAATTAATGTTTACCGTTTCATTTTTGAGTTATCTTCTTAATCATCTACTCTCCGACCATCATCGCCCCATATTTGCTATGATGATGAACATTACTGACAAACGACTGTAAGATCCGCATTAGAATCACTCTAGAGCCATCGTTCTCAGATGTTTACCCTATTTATCTAACATTTTGGCGTAAGGCTATAACAAACGGGCATGCAATGAAGTTCGGCGAGACTAGCATGCTAACCATTCTTCTTGTCTATTTACTAAGTGTAGCTTATTTGTGGGTAGAACCATAATAACTGAGGTAGTCTGTCCTATTAGATCGGTTAATGATTAAAAATGGATAGCTTAAAATCAGGGAGCTCAACGTGACGACTGATAGATTTTCTTATTCATATAAAATAATGAAAAAAAAAAAAATAAAAATAACGAGATCAGAATAATGTATTATGCTTTTAGAGATTCGGTCGAGAAGAGAACAAACGAAATCGAATATAAAGTGAACGCGAAATTCGAGACGCAAATTATCATGGAAATGGAATTTCAATCAATTCACTGTCAGATTTGATTGGGCACTTGGCTAAAAAAGATGGATTGAAAGGTTAACGAGCCTAAATTAACACCCAGGTACTGTTTAGAGTGCAAAGGATTTGACTTGGACAATGAGACTGACTTCAAGCTTAGGAGAATTATACACGGCTAATTGGTCTGCGAATACGTGTATAAACAAATTAAAGGGGATAATGGTTGTGTGTGTTTATTTTTTTAGTTTTATTTGGAATAATCATGACCGTGTTAGAAATTGTCAAAAGTAGCAAAGACATTGTTTTATTTCTTTTATATGTCGTGTCCCTTCAGGATGTGGGTGATCATAACGCCCTGTTTCCTTTAGCTCGACGCGACAGGAAATTTTTTTTTACCACAGCACTTTGTCGCCGCTCTGCCACCCATTTGCACAAACTTGCTATTCGGTGTTTCCCGCTTGCCTTCAATATGACTAGTGAGTGTTAAATTCACCAAACCGTTTTTCTTCATTTTGTGACCCAGAAATTGATGGCTATATAGATTAAAGACAGGTTCAACATAACAACATAATTTTTATAAAAAATATCCAAAAGAGTATTCCAGTAATTTTTAACTTGATGTTTTGCATCGTAAGAAGGGCGATCTTAGGCCTTTGTGCCTGACAAAAAAGTAAAAAAAAAAAAAAAGCAAAGAAAAAAACGTAGTGTCAGGAGGACAGTTTTTCCCTTGACACCGTTATTATTTTAACTACCTTCACTCCTTGTCAATGTTTATAGTTTTAAAAAGCGATGATTAAAACTGTGAATTTTACTAAATTTTTACTACGTTAATAAAAACACCGATTAAAATAAAAAAAAATAACTAAATAAGATAAGAAATAAAAAAAATAAAAAAGAATAAAAGTAAAAATAAAAATAAATAAAAACAAGCAAAATAATTTAACCCAAATAAATAAATAAACAAATAAACGACTTTCGGTAAAATAACCGCCAAAATAGACAACCCACAATGCACCACTGACCCGTATATATATAAATAGCCGATAAAAATAACAGCACTCGTGGCCTGACGATTGCATCTAGCATGAAACAGACTGTCGCCTCTAAGTGTTGACTTCTATGTTCACTTTTATATATATATATATATATATATATATATATATATATATATATATATATATATATATGAAAAATGAGTAAAATTTGTCACTTAGCTGATTGTTGTTACCTTCAGCATCCCGACTGCAGAGTTTCGTGGACGGACCTGTTCGTCCACTCTTCAGGGTGTAAATATGGACATTTACATATACTGTATCCCTGATATTGTGCACTTTAAACCATAAATATAGCATACCTTAAAACAATATTTTATCACACACACACACACACACACACACACACACACACACACACACACACACACACACATATATATAGGCAAAAATCCGTGGGCAAGTAATCCAAGTAGATCCTAATAATATAAAAAATTAAAAATAATTCACAAAAGAGAGCTCACTATATTTGTTATAGAGCATATAATTGAATTACATAAAAAGTAAACTCTATTCACCCATTCAGATGGACATTTCACCCCGGTATATTCTCCCTGGGGCTTGTCAATGCAAAAACATTGGTTAAAAAAAAAGCAAACTAACAAACGTTTTTGCATTGACAAGCCCCAGAGAGAATATTCCGGGGTGAAATAGCCACCTGTGATAGAGTTTCATTTTTATGTAATTCATATATATATATATATATATATATATATATATATATATATATATATTAGCATATTGGCCTTTTAGTGTTGAATTAGTTAACTGTAACCGCTACTTCTACTCTAACCGTTTCTTTTCTCGCACTTCCCAACTGTGGAACTTCCTTTTTTCCCTTGCTTTCCTGATAACAAAAATTAATCTGATCTTCAAATACAACGTCAAGCGCCATCTTCTTGAATCCCGTTCAGCCTTTATCCTTTCCTCAGTCCCCACTATATCCAGTCTTTTCTCTCACCTGCACTCTCTGTAACCCCCTATGTACTAGTGGTATTATCGACCTGCTTAGGGTGGAATGTTTAAAAAAGAATATGTATATGTTTTGTGTACGTTTTATGTTAGGTTAGTATACATAAAGTTATTGTTGGCGCCATTATAAATTGATATCTTTCTATATCTTTCTATATTCTATTTTGATCTCTAGGAAAGATCTTATTTCTCCGGTGCCCACTCACCCACCACAAATTGGATTGTTTATATACTCTTGGCTGCAGAGCTGAATTGGCTTTGTTCAAGTCAAAGACAATTATTTCGAAACATCATCGATCTAAAATCTTTCCTTTCCTTCCGATTTTGAACTCGACCTGATATACATTCATCACAGTTAAAGACCACAAAGCAAATGTTCTAAACAACCCTCGATACTGATTTCTCAGTCAGCAAAAAACTTCCTTGATAGAGCATGCAAATACATGAAAAATGCTCTAGCAATTAACCAGTGGCACAAAACACCTGAAGCGATAGATTGGTTTTCTAACATAAAAGGGAAGAATGAATTCATTCAATTCGATCTTTGTGTCTTTTACTGTCCATCACCGAGAATCTGCTAATGCCTGCCATAAATTTAGCAAAAGATTACTGTTCTATTAGCGATCGCGAAATAAAAATCATAAAGCAGGTATAAAGAATTATACTATTCCATAATGGTTCTATGTGAACCAAAAGAAGTAGCCCATAATTTAGTATTGCTATAGCCGTGAGCGTATGATTCAACGAGGGCATGATAAATTGTTGGAATTATTGTGACGACTTAAATTCATTTTCGACATCAAGGACACCGGGCTCTATAGAGATAACTGTAATTCTTCTTTGTAAAACTAGCCAACGAAATATAGACCGATTGAGAAAGAGACAGATAAGATATTTTAAAGATTCTGAAGTAAATATTACCGCCATCATCAATGCAAAAGTGATCAACTCTCTCGATGTAAACTTAGACCTGAATAATGGTTACTCTAAACCATAGAGAAAAGCTAGATACGTTAGTAATGATTCAAACAGCCACCACCATCACAAAAGTTTAGATATTTTACATAAATTAGTCCAAGAAAAATTTAGGAAAAATAATGTTAACATCAGCTATAGCTGCGTTACTAACATAAACAAATCTATTCCCCATCAGGACAACATTATATTGAACAAATATATTTCCAACAAAGACAACATAATTTTTCTAAAAATAAATGCAACTGCCGAAAAATATGATCCGTTCCTTAAACGGTCAATGTATGACCGATAATACAGTGTATCAAGCGAGT